TATCACATAAGCATTGCTGCTATTGGGACAAACAGTGACAGTTGATTCGGGTCATTTGAATGTCCATTGTCTGTTTTAATTTGTATGTTCGTTTTGACTCTGTCATATGCTCAAACTTCAGTGGAATTCATGAGAACCTATTATTTTTGCCTGCTCCCTCCTTTACATTGGAAATATTTTTTACTCAGAGGGACCTTAACTTTGATGTAAGGGATTGTTTCCATTGCCAACTGCTTTCTTCCTTGCCAAGTAAGAGAGTTGTTGTGAACTCTTCAGTGATGCCTTCCCCAGGATATTTGCAGATGTGCTTGGGAAAAATCATTTCATCCCCGACCTTTGCATGTCAGGTGCTGGGGTGCTGGGGTGCCACCTCGCCTGTGCCCTGGCTCTCCGATCCCGATGCGGCTCTCTCTCCCTCCGATCACCATGGTGACCACCGGGACGCAGGCCAGGTGGCACCCCCGTGGCTCTTGCCTGCTGCCTGGGTTTCCTATCACTGTTCTTCCATCCTTCCCCTTTAGCCTCCCATCATTGTGCCTACGTATGCAAATTAACCGCCATCTTTGTTGGCAGTTAATTTGCATATCGCCCTAATTAGCCAATGGGAAGCATAGCGGAGGTATGGTTAATTACCCTTTTCATCTTTTATTAGATAGGATGTTAGTGAAGATGCGCACCCTGGTGCAATGTTGTGGGAATGTAAAGTGCAGCTCATGGTCCAAACAGTATGATGGTTCTTCAGAAAATTTTAAACAATTGTCATAAAGCAATTTAACTTTTGAGCATATATCCAAAATAATTTAAAGATTATCTCAGAGATTTGCACACCAGTGTTTATAGCAGCATTATTCACCACAGCCAAGAGATGAAAATAACCAAAGTGTCCATTAATGAAAGAATGGATAAAGTAAGTTTGGGATATCCTATATAATAAAAGGCTAATATGCAAATTGTCCCCTCGACCTGGAGTTCAACCAGAGGGCGGGCCCAGCCAGCCAACTGCTTGCAGCCCCTCCCCCCAGCTGGCCCTACCCCCAATCAGCTCCCACCCTGATTGGGGGCAGGGCCAGCCTGCTGGCTGTGGCCCCTCCCCCTGGCTGGCCCCACCCATGACCTGACCCCCACCCCGATCGGGGGTGGGGGCAGCCAGCCAACCTCCCATGTCCTCTCTCCCCGGCCAACCCAGCCCGATCAGCCCCCCACCCATGCACAAATTTGTGCACTGGGCTTCTAGTGTATATATATAATTTCATATTGTTTTAGGAAAGGAATTCTGGCACATGCTTCAACATTAGATGACCTTGAGAACATTATGCTAATGGAAATAAAGTCTACTTAATGAGGTATCTAGAATGGTCAAATTCATAGAAACATAAAGTAGAATGGTAGGTCCCAGGAGCTAAGGGGAGGGGAAATGGAGAGTTGTTTAATGGGTATATAGTTTCAGTTTTGCAAGATGAGAAGATCCGCAGATTGGTTACACAACCATGTGAATATACTAGTATACTAAAGAACTGTACTCTTTAAAATGTTTAAGATGGTAAAGTTTGTATTCTGCATTTTATACCGCAGTCAGAAAAAAAGGAGCAGGGGAATGCAGTTCATAAAAAAACACTGAACTTGTATCAAGTTGGCTGCCTAACTACATGAAGAGGAATTATTTCAACAGCCTTTCTAGTGAGATACACTATAAACACAAGTAAGCCATAAATTGCATTTGGTAATCATATTGTTAGTGTTATTTGAAACTAAAATTTAAGTATTGAATGGTACCCAATTTTGTGAAGAGAAAAGTAGTACTTCCATGCAGCTATAAAAAGGAATGAAGTGCTGACGATGGTAGAACATTAGACCTTGAAAATATGCTAAATGAAATAAATCTGAGACAAGGCCACAGTATGATTCCATTTATATGAAATATCCAAATAGGCAAAACCACAGAGACAAAGCAGATTAGTGGTTGCCAGGGGCTATGGAGAGTGGGGGATGGGGAGTGACTGCTTAATAGGTACAGGGTTTCCATTTGAGCAATGAAAAGGTTCTGAAACTTGATAATTGTAATGGTTATACAATAATATGAATATAAATGCCACTGAACACATTTTTAAGTGACTAAAATTATACATTTTATTTTGTGTATATATTTTTTATCAAAAATGAATTAACCTTCAGTGGTGAGGATCCAACATAATTGTACTTAGATGAAGAACAGCTTTATTAAATTATAAGCAAGTAATTCACTTACATTTGGAGCTTATAGTATTGGCTACAATTTAGTCTCTCAAACTTAAACTTTTTCCTACAATGTAAAACCTAGCCTTCCCTTAGACTTTTGAAAATTATTATATTTTGATCCCTGCAAATTATAAGAAGGGAGCTGGAAATCATTTGTCTGATAGCTAGGTCTTAATCCACCTCTGTTTGTAAGAACTGGTCCATGGCCACCTCCAGGTCCTCTCTGTACAGATTTTACAAGAGGATAAATATGTTTATTTGTTGATTCAGACTCAAATTTAATTACTTCCCTGGCATAATCTTGAAATTGTTTCTCCTTTTCAGCCATAAGTTCTTCAGTAAGTCTGCAATACTCCCGATGGTCTTCTTTTGCTTGTTTTGCATTAAACTTATTTTTGGCCTATTGAGGAAAGAAAGTACAATTCCATATTGGTAAGTGAGACCAACTTTCTAAACATACATAGCATTAGAAGTTGTAGATAGACTTTTCTAAACTCATTGATATTTGACAAGTTCTGACTTAACAACTGTATACTATAATTTATTTCAGAAACTTTCCCATGTATCTCACAATATCATCATGCTCAAAAGTCATGACTCAATGAAACTTACCTTAATAGCCTTTTGTGATGATACATCTTCAAACAATACAGCAAAATAGTTAAAGGCATGAAATTTAGATAAAATCAAATAAGTTTACAATCCTGTTTCTATCAATTAATAAAGTGTACTCTGGCAGGTGTAGAAGGCATACCAATCACTGTCCCTACCCATCCACTATTTTGAAGGAACTAACTCAAACCCACTCTCCTAAGTCATCCCAGTATACCATGTGCCACAGGCATGTAAGATTAAATTGTCAGTGACTATCTGAGCTAAGTTAAACCAACGACATGCTCTGTTTCCCAATAATTTGAAGTTGGAACAAGTGACATTTATCAACGTAGATTGATCAGGTGCTGTGTGGAGTAAGTACGCTAAGCTATCTACCAAAAGCCAATTTACCAACATTTCATAAATTTTTTTCTTGTAACTTCATAAAAATGTTCCTTTATATTATACTATAGGACCAGTGCACAGATTCGTGCACCAGTGGATTCCCTTGGCCTGGCCTGCGGGAATCGGGCCGAAACCAGCTCTCCAACATCCCCTGAGAGGTCCTGGATTGTGATAGGGCGCAGGCCAGGCTGAGGGACCACACCGATACACAATTGGGGCCAGGGAGAGACTATGGGAGGTTTCCAGGGTGTGTCCGGCCCGTTTCGCCCAGTCATGATCGGCTGGACCCCAGCAGCAAGGTAACCTACCAGGGAGAATCTGCCCCCTAGCGGTCAGTGCGCATCATAGCGACTAGTCGAACGGTTGAACAAGCGGTTGGACACTTAGCAAATTAGGCTTTTATTATATACTAGAGGACCAGTGCATGGACTCATGCACCAGTGGGGTCCCTCAGCCTAGCCTGTGCCCTCTTGCAATCCGGGACCCCTCGGGGGATGTCAGACTGCCAGTTTCAGCCTGATTCCTATAGGCCAGGCTGAGGGACTCCACGGGTGCACCGGGGTGGTTTAGGCCCAATCCCCACAGGCCAGGCAGAGGGACCCCACTGGTGCACAAATCCATGCACCGGGCCTCTAGTATGCATATAAGATCTTTGGTTAATCTCTTCTACCCTTCCTTGAGATTCATCAGTCTGTTCCATGTTTCCATACCTGTGCATTGAGTGTCTGCCCCCTGGTGGTCAATGTGCATCATAGCTACCAGTCAAACAGTTGCTTAGGTTTTTATATACATAGATGATGTGATTATAATGACTTTTAAAGATTTCTATGAAGTTTTGGTTGACAATTTTTTCATTTTGTTTTCTCTGTGGCATTTTTAAAAAATGCTGAGTTGGCAAAAATATTGAGTGATTTTGTATACTTAAGAATATATTTTAATATTAAAAAAATATTTTTCAAAATCAATAACCAATACTTAAGCATAAAATAGTAGCTCAAACCTGATATCTACCATAAATTGAAATTTATAAGGAAACTAGAGGCCTGATACACAAATTCATGCAAGGGGCTCAGCCCTCGCAGCCCTGGCTTCATCCGGAAGGTCATCCAGACAGTTGTCCGGAAGGATGTCCAGATGGTCGTTCTGCTGTTCAGTCTAATTAGTATATTAGCTCTTTATTACATAGGATGTCCTTGTTTGCAGGAAATATGCACTCGTTTATTCAGGGGCGAAGTATTACAAGAGTATTACATATGTCTCCTCCCCCCCCCCTCAGCTCTTTATTATATAGATAGAGCAACTATATGAATATAGAAAGCACATTTTTATTACTGAGTGCTGCATTTAAAAATTAAAGCTTATATGTTAAATTGGTGATAAACTACCAGAAGCTTGAAAAAATATAAAATTACATTCAATAAGTATTTTTTTTAAGTCAGAAAAAGCTATAAACTGTCTTCTAAATATGGGATCTTAACAAGAAGCAGTTGAGATATGTTGATTTGGTGGTTTGTAGAAAGATATTGAGGGAACAGGGAGAAACTTTTAAAGTACAATGGAAGAGATTGGAGAACCAAGATGGCGGCATAAGGTATAAACCTGTGTGTGCTGCCCCCCACAACAACTTTGAAACTACAACTATAAGATAAAACAGCTATCATCCAGAACCACAGGGAAGCTGGCCGAGTGGAAGTTCTACAACTAGAAGGAAAGAAAAAAGCGCACTGAGACTGGGTAGGAGGTGCAAAGGCACCAAGAACAGAGGTACAAAGGCGCGTGGGAGGCAGCTGCACCTGGGTGTGTGGTTTTTCTCAATTGGACGGGGATACAAGCTCTCGAATACACTGAACTCATTTACGGTGAGACTCTGGGGTCCCAGACTCCTACGGGGAGAAACTGGACTGTCTTGCAGGGGGTCGGAAAGTGAGGGTGGCTTTCTCGCAGAGCTGCGCACAGGGATCATTGTTGCTGTGGGGGTGTGGGACTCAGCGATGCAGAGGGACTCGGGAACACAGAGACTCGGAGTCGCAGAGATGGCTGACGACAGCCATTGCTATTTGCTCCGCCCTAGTGGTTCTCTGAGACCCCGCCCCACTCAATTTACATCCCCATACAAGCTGTGAGCAGCGGCACAAAGGAATCACCTGAGCTTTTGCAGCCTAACCTAACAAACTGCAGCTGGGTCAGAGCGCTCCAAAACTTCCAAACCCCAAACAAAGAGGAGAAATCTGCTGGTATCGCTGTAGCTCCTGCTGGGTGGACTCACACAGTGGTTGACTTGGAGATCCAGGAGCCAGGGTACCCCTGGTCAGCTACAAGATTTCAACTCCTCACATCCATAAGGGACACACTCAAGAAGCAGACTCAGTGAGCACCAAAGCCCCACTGAAGCAAGTCCTACCCCATAAGAGTGTCTCCAGCACAGCAGCAGTTCTTCCACTGTAGACTGCTGGTCCTTGCAGTCAGCCAAAAATGCGGAGAGAAAGAAACATGTCACAAATGAAAGAAATGGAGGAAAGCAAACTAATGGAGGACATAGAGTTCAAAACCACAGTTATAATGTCACTCTTCTACGAACCTCTGAGGAACTTAGTGAGACCTTCAAGGATCTTAATGAGAATGCCAAAAAAATGGAAAAGGACCAGTCAGAAATTAAACATACACTGACTGAAATAAAGAATATTATACAGAGATCCAGCAGCAGACTAGAGGATCCCAAGAATCAAGTCAAAGATTTGAAATACAAAGAAGCAAAAAACACCCATCTGGAAAAACAAAACGAAAAAAGAATCCAAAAATATGAAGATAGTGTAAGGAGCCTCTGGGACAACTTCAAGTGTACCAACATCCGAATTATCAGGGTGCCAGAAGAAGAAAGAGAGCAAGATACTGAAAGCCTATTAGAAGAAATCATGACAGAAAACTTCCCCTGCCTGCTGAAAGAAATAGACTTACAAGTCCAGGAAGCAAAGAGAACCCCAAATAAGAGGAATCCAAAGAGGACCACACCAAGACACATCATAATTAAAATGCCAAGGGTTAAAGACAAAGAGAGAATTTTAAAAGCAGCAAGATAAAAACAGTTAGTTACCTACAAGGGAGTACCCATATGACTGTCAGCTGATTTCTCAACGGAAACCATGAAGGCCAGAAGGGAGTGGCAAGAAATATTCAAAGTGATGAATAGCAAGAACCTACAACCAAGATTACTCTACCCAGCAAAGCTATCATGTAGAATTGAAGGTCAGATAAAGAGCTGCATGGACAAGAAAAAAGCTAAAGGAGTTCATCACCACCAAACCAGGATTATATGAAATGCTGAAGGATATTCTTTAAGAAGAGGAAGAAGAAGAAAAAGGTAAAGATAAAAATTATGAACAACAAAGTGACAACAAATAAATATCTATCAACAAGTGAACTTAAAAATTAAGTCAGAATAAACTGGTGAATATAATAGAAGCAGGGGCATAGAAAGGGATTGGACTGACAATTCTTGGGGGGTAAGTGGTATGGGGGTGTGGGAAGAGACTGGACAAAAATCTTACACCTATGGATGAGGACAGTGGCAGGGGGAAAGGGCATGAGGTGGGGTGGGAACCAGGTGGAGGGGAGCTATGGGGGAAAAAAAGAGGAACATCTGTAATAATCTGAACAATAAAGATTTATTAATTTTAAAAAAATAAAGTACAATGGAAGTAACAATGGAGGGAAGAATTGCATAATGGATCATAGATTGGTACCTCAAATTTGATATGCACTAATTAAGCATTAATAGAAACTCATAGAGAAACTTTTAAAATAGTAGTTAAAAAGTAACAACAAGCACCTTTGAAGGATGCAAGAGAGCTAATATTTTGGACACTGGAAAATAAAGTGAAAGAATCAAGTATTTATCCTATCTTTTCCTTAAAAATTGTACCTCAAGGAAACCAAACTGCTGATCATGAAAAGTTTTTGAAGACATTAACAAATGAATCCAAAGGAAATTGACATTTTGCCACCTCATGAATTAAGAGATTTAGGCAATGATCATCAAAGGCTCTTCATATCACAGAAAGTGAGACAACAGTCATTAGGTACCTTCTAATAGAAGGACACAATATCACCCATGAGGAATTTCAACCAAAAAATTGAATTTAATCTAGATTTTACATACAATGCAGGGAACACATTAAATTACACCAAATGGCAAAAGCCAGATTAATAACTCTAAAAGATAAAAAAAAAAACAATTTCTTCAACAAACAACAAAAAAAGAACAAATATAATAAAGACAAGGAGGGAGAACTTAAGACAAAAAGAGAGGATGGAGGTGGAGGAGGAGTTATAGATTAAAAGAGACTTGAAAGACATATCAACCAAATAGAATACATGTACCTTATTTGATCTTAATTCAAATAA